TTTTTTAAAAAAAAAAAAAATCTAAAAATTTTTCAATAAATTAGGGCAACATTAATAAAATATTTTTAAATTCTATTGAAATGATGAAAGATGAAACATTTAAACGCAAAATTAATGCAATTGAGGTAAAAATCTATATAAATTTTATAAGTCTTATTTAATGGAATCATTAATTTACATATACTTTTTCTTCACTTCTTTTAGACATTATGCATACTGCTTCAAGGAATTTTTGCCAAAAAATTTAACAATTTTAGCTCTGATGTGATCAATTTATTGACCGGGTTGAATAATGCAGACACTGTTTTTACTGTAAGTTACGGGTCTGCAAGTGAAGTTATTTATTGATTTGTTTAAATTTACACAAACTATTTTGATAGCAATTGGTTGATGCAATCAAACATTTAATGGAAAATGATGAAACAGGTTAATTAATGTTTGTGTGTGATATCTCTAACAAAGTTTAATTCACAGACTCACATTTTATTTTATAACCATTTTTTAATTAGTAATCAAATACGAAGCACTGCGCCTTGCCATCGTGGTTGTATGTGGAAATAATAATATCAACCAAAACAGTATAAACGAATTCTTTATGAAAAATGATATATTTGATCCACTTATCAAGGTAAATTTAATTTGTTGATTTAATCATAAAAATATTATTATATAATTACTCTTTTAATATCTGACTTAATATTGATTTGTTATGATTATTAACTTAGCTAATAATTGCACCTGAGACTTCCTATGTGGCTTATGAAGCTATAATGTTATTGGGAATATTGGCAAATTATAATAAGCATGAATCCAAAAATCCATACATGACAAAAATTACCGCAATAAAGGATGAATCCGTTTTTCAAGTATGTAAATACTTTAATGATTACATTTTTATTTTTTATGTTTTAGCATTGATTTGTAATGTTTTTTTTTTATACAAATAATTCTAGAAAATATTGGATGCTGTAGAATCAACATGCAAGAAATGTCGCAAGTAATTTGGTTTAGTATGCATATGTGTTATGGTTATTAAGTAATAAACCATACATTATTGATTAAAATTACACCACTCTTTAAGTCATTATATTGAAATTCAAGATGACGATGAAACTTATAAGTATTCAGTTTCATCAGCCTTATCATTTGTTGGTGCTATCTTACCATGGGGAATGAGTGGCAATACAAAAGAACAACAAGATATTTCTGATCCTGATCAAGCTTTTAATCAATTGCAAGTAGATTTAGATTTTTCGACATTTGCTATTTTCCGGTTATTATTTTCCAGGTGTTGCTAACAACATACTTTCTAAATTTATATTTTAGGCCATCAGCAAATATAGCAATCCTTTTAATTTATTATGACTTTGTGAACAATAATAAAGGATTTGTTGCATACATATCAAAATCGATAGCAGAATATCAGATGAATTCTGAATCAGAAACAAATTCAGGTTTGTATTTAATTAGGTATTTTACATAATACGGCATTTATATTATTTTGTAGTTTAATATTTATATTAATACTGTTTTGAATTTTTAGATGGGCCTTATTTTCTTGATTTTCTTTCATTCACATCTTATCTTGTACAACACAACCGCTCAGCACGTACAGCGAGCTATGTTAAGCTGTCTTTACTTGTGCTGCTTATCTTGACTGAAGATGTAACATTTGATAGTCGTATTTCTGATGAACGGAAAAGATACTATGTGCGACTTTGTCGACAGGTAAAGCAAATTTTCAAAGTACTAAACATTGTTGTCTATACATAATAATTAATAATTATTGATATTATTGATTAACAGCGACAGCCTTTACTGCCAAGCGTAAAAGATCCACACCCTTTAGTTTGTGCAATATTAGATATCGGTTTAGGCTTTATAAATCATAATATGCGAAAAAAATTGCAGATAGATTTATATAGGTTTGCATAATACATTGTGGTTGTTACGTCTGAAGTAGCTCTCTATCTGACTTAGATATTTAAAGTAGTTTAGATAGAAATCTACTTCGGATATAATATTAGAACATTAATATTTTATAATTCATATTATTGAAATTTTATTTAGTTTGGTCTTGGGAATTATCCAACGAATACTGTCATATCACAAAAAATTTAAAGTTATATGCTTAAAGTGGGCATAATTTTATTGAAATAAATATTTAATATTATCAATGTTGGAATTTGGACTATG